CTGTTGGTCTGATGAGACAGAGTTCCCATACCTCCAGACATAGGGGTGGTGCACCCAGTGCCCAACCTACAAGTGCACATCTCCAACTTTCCCCTGAGCTGGGGCTATGCAGGAGCAAGAGTAATCTGTTGCTGGGTGGATGAGGGTGAAGGTTGGCTATACTTAGGGTCCCCAGTAAGGTGTGAGGTTAGTAAAAAGGATCCCATCTTTCTCCTTACCAGCGTGCATTTGAAAGTCAGGCCAGTTTCTGATGCTGCTTACAAAATTTCAAGATGGCAGTGCCTTGTCAAGCCAGCAATTTGCCCATCTGTCTTTCTGGCCACTTTGTTCAGCTAGTTCTAGAGGCTATTCAATCCAATTCACTGTCCTCTCCTCTCTTTTGAAGCTTGGGGTTCCAGGATTGTCATCTTTATCTGTTTCATTTGGTTTCATGTGTCTTTATTGTAGAGGGTCTGTGTAGCATTACCTGCCTAGTTCCCCATCTTGCAGGAAGTCCAAAGCATATGGTTTTTAAACATCATTGTATTTTAAATTGTTTATTTTTGGATGATATAGTATTATTTTACATTAAAATGAATACATATTTGGGGGACTAAAATGTAATAAGCACATTAAAAAAATAAAATATACATTCTATTTTCTCCTCCTTTGGCCCAAAGCTAAAGGGCACCCTCCCCCACTCCCAGCCCCCCAGGAATTCACATTTCTGACTTTGGTGGAAACAGTTAAAAAGTAAATAATAAATGCAAAAGGTAACAGTTGGAGCCTTTTTGCAATAAAGAAAACTAACAAGAACAAAGTGAAGGAATTATAAAACAAATCTCAAGAGATTGAGAATTAGTTTCGCTACAGAATTTCAGATTCTTAGAAGGCTATTAATTATGGAAATTATGGAGCTATCTAAATTGGTAGATGTAGTTTCCTTTGATTGGCAATGACAACCAACCATGGCCTCAAAAGTGGTCATTTTTACAAAGACAATAAATAAAGTGTATTGACAATTCAGAACACCACAGAACTAAAGTTCTTGACAGTAATGGGGTCGGAAATGCTGAAAGGACTGCTTGCATTCCATTTCATATAGGGTTGATGATTTTACATCCAAATAAGAATCTAACTCCTGATTTTCAAACTATGTCATTTATGTAACTAGTTATGAGTCCCTGTGGGGTACAAATGGTTATGAGCTGAACTCCTAACCAAAAGGCTGGCAGTTCAAACCCACCGAAGCAGCTCATCAGCAAGTCTACCAACCTACTTCCCCAAAATCAGCCAAAGAAATCCCTATGGAGTTTTACTCGGGTATCATTTTTTTTTTT